ATGGAAGAAAATTGAAGAAATCCTTATCTGTATGATACCAATGCTTAATAATATATAACTATTAAATGGTACCTTTTTTGTATTTTTTCATATTTTACTAAATGTTTTATGGTTCAACTTTTAAATTAAAAATTAACACTTCATTTAAAAATAGCCTCCAAAAATTGTACAATATTAAATTATTAATTAATTTTAATTATTACAATTTTTTATTTTATTAGTTGTGTATAATGTATAAATATTTTTAGATTGGCAGTGTGATAACTCCAAGAAAGATGATTGATATAGAAACAAATGATTTTGCACCCTCTTCTGCATCCTCAACAGACCGAGCTGTAGTTGCCCAAAAAAACTCAAAACAAATCCTTTTAGAAATTGAACATGTTGGTTATATTATATTTTATAAATATTTGTGTACCGTTTTCATCAAATATAAAATGTATTGCTTTTCAGATGTATATACCACTTCTGAAAATAGAACAAACATACTATGCAATAAGGAACAAAGCACAAGCAGCACCAACTGTACAACAATACATTGATGAACTAACAGAAATTTTGTCCAACCATTTACATCACTTAGTTTCATATGTGACTATACGTAAAGGAAAAGTAGGCAATGCAATAGTATTTAAATTAACAAAAACTAGTTTATTTTTATAACTATGATCTATAACTGATATTGAAAACGTATAATTTGAATTTAATTTAATTGCCTCTTTTATTTGATTTCTAGCAATTGGTACACAGAATTTTACCCCATCTCAAAAATCCGTCATTTTTATGGAGTGTATTTTTCGGCCCTTCAATTTGTACAATTATTTCAAAAGATAATGAAGATCAATTATTGTTACTATTTTTACCGTACATAAGACAATGGATATTTTGCTTATGTCTTCCGGAATTGAATCAAATTGCAGAGTATTTAATGAAAAATCTTGCATTTGTTTTGATAAGTGTTGTAAGTAGATGCTATTAGAAATCTTAATAGAATCCTAATAGAATATTAATCCTATTAGAAAATAACATTAATTTAGATGAGCTGTTTTAAAAATGAATAACATTTTTATATTCTAATAAATAATAATATGTATGTATTATTATACCTATTAAAATATATATTTGCTTTTAGTTTGGCATATCAGTTATAGCAAATATGATTGAACGAGCAGAAGAAGTTCGACCCACAACAGAACGAAAAGTATTGAAACAATGGAGTATTTTCATTAGCAGTGTTATATTAGTTGGTTCAGAAAATACAATACAAAGACCAGTAATTGGTTTGGATAAAAAAATTATTGAACAGCATCTGACATATTTGCCGTTAGACCAATCCGTTACAATTGAAAAAAAATTAAACCTTGTTCAAAGAATTAGTTTTTTGGGTGACACAACTAAGAAATAATTACCATTCATGACATCATATTATATGATTTTACTTTTTTGTAGTAACAATGGTCATCATTATCACTGCATAAAATTAGACCACAATAGATTTATTTCTTTGAGAATCTTAGGGAAAATTGTAATCTCTCTTGCACTATATTTTCTGGATATCTGAACGTTGGTGTTGTATATAATGTTGAAAATTTTTCGATTCAAAACTATTAATCTTATTGTGCATTATTAAGCACTTGAGATTTTGCTAGGTTTACTATACATTTTACACCATATAACATGGTTTTTTTTTTTCATTTTTACTTTACATTTGTTCCCAGCTCATTAATACTTAGTACAATATGAAACAATTTCTTAATATAATTAGTTAATTTCTATGTTGATAATCATTTTTATCAAAGTATAATTTTAATTTTGCATTAAAGTTATTTTTTATTAATATTCATTTTTACATTAATGTGGTTCCAATGATAATATTAATTAAAGGAACAATTTTTTTTATAATTTCTATTAGTTATTTTTGGAAAATTATATTTAAATAATATACTAACCAATTTCTTAATTTCATAATTCCTAAATATTTTTTAAACTTAATTTATTCTAAACAATGACCCAATATAAATCTTTTTTTGTATTATCATTATTTAAAATTGAATTAATTGATTAATAACTTCTAAGTAATTAAATGTGTATGAAATATTTACCATTAATTATTAAATAATTTGAGCTCTAGTTATTTTGTCATCTGCAGTAGATATGAATCCTATACATTTATTGATAGTTGAAACACTTATGGTAACTGAACGTGTAAGTCCAAAATCAATGAAATTAATTTCTGAATGAAATTAAGTTACCTATATAATTGTGCAATTTCAAATTTAATTGATCCCTATCATTATGTTTGGGTTTTTTAACTATTTATTAATTGAATTAATACTATATTATTATTATATGATATTATTATCTTTAATACTAAAATAAGAAATTTGTTATAACAAACCATACATTAAATAATTTACAATCATTATGTCAATAGTAAATTTATGTATGAAAAGATACTGTTAAATAAAATAACGGTAGTGTAGAATAAATTATTATACAATATGTAGATCATAAACTTAGAAAATCTTTAAAGATAGATATTTAATTGTGTTGAATTATGGTTTTGTTTTAAATTTAAAAAAATTTAAAGACTTTTAACAAATTTATAATATGATAAAAGTATATTTAAAATATTATCGCCATTGATGTATTGTACCTAATATTTATTTAAAATTGAATGATTTTCTTTATATTTTATATTATTTTAAAAGTCTCCCTGTATTGTAATTAAATGTTGCTTAGTGAATTTTTTTATTTAATTTTTTTTTTGCATGTGTATAGAATATATATACCAGAGTGCTGTATCATGTGGATTTACCAATTTTTTAAAATATAAAATTGGCAAATTCTCTTGATACACTCTGTGGATGTAATATACAAATATATATATATATATATTATATAAATTATGTGTAATACAATTTAGTTTATTTATATGTCTATTTGTATAATTATTTTAGAATTTGTTATATGTAAAATTCAAAAAATAAAAATGTATTGTTTTTAACTTCCTAACTTCAGTATTGTTTATTTTGCCAACCTTTTGATCGGTAGCAGATAATATGACAACATTTGAAAATTATATGATGATCAAATTTTAAAAACGGTTTTGATACCCAAGTAACTTTAATGTATGCACTTAAAATTTTTATAAATATAATGAAACATAAAAATTTAGAAAGCTTATTAACAAAATATGTTTGTAAAATAATGTATGCAAAACAGATATCCAAAAACAAGTTCTGATCATAAATTGTATAAATATTAAATTTAAACTTCTACATTTTATACTATTTCCGTTTGAGAAATTATATTCAATACAATCTGTATATATTATAATTAACAGAAATGTTTGGTATTAATTTATGTCATTGTATGTCAAAAATTAATTACAGATAATTTATAGAAATCTAACCGGCACAGTTGTAAGACTTGTACTTATATCATATGTTAGAATGTTAGATCATGCATAAAAAATACAAAATTTCACTAACATATCATTTAATATACATTTTTGAGAAATAAACTTAAAAGTTAAATTCAAAACTAAACTAGTTATAAAATATTACATAAGCTCAAACATTGTGAGTGCACTTTCAACTGAGTTTCAATGCTATACTAAATACTTGCAAAAATGATCAAGTGTTTTTGGGGGGAGGGGGCTAGGTTATTTTTATGGAATCTGAGAAATGTCATTCTTATAGTATAGGAATCTTGCAAACCTTATGATTTTTTGCAATCGGGTTCAAAAAATTGTACGTTCCTAGACACATTTTCCCTCAGGATGATCGAGTTTTGAAAAATTCACTAAAAATTTTAAATATCAAGTTTGTATTTTGGTAGTTTAAAACAAAGCGGAATTGGCTTCATAAATTACATTATTTCTCTGTTTTGATTTAATAAAATTTATTAATTGAAAAATTACATTTTTACAACTTTATGTTGATGCCAATTATAATTTGGACAGTTGGTTTGGGGATGGCTAAAATAATATAAGCTGCAGTGCTGCACCAACCTACAGGAACTCTGTCCGTACCCCTTGTAGTATTTTTAAAGTAATGGTACAACACAATAGTTTAGTTAGGTACTATACATTACTCATCAGCAAACAACAAACACTTAATGTACCAATACAATCAGGGCCGGATTGGTATATCGGCCCATTCACATATTCACTGGCTCAAAATTATTAGTAGCTTATAGGTGGTCAATTGTATTTTAAACATTAATTTATTTTCACTCAACACTCAAATGACCGGCCCAAACTTTAAGCTCTTCACAGAGATTTTTTCGGTAGCTTGCCTAACCAATCCCACCCTGCACAATACAAAAATTAAACTTAATTGGAAAAATAAATAAAATATATTAGCCTGTACTGTTCAATTGATATATACTGTATTCGAAATTTATCAATACATACTAAAATTTATCTGGTTTTTACAAAATATTAGTTGATAAATATAAATTTATAAACAAATAACATACATAACGTATTAAAATTGTACCATATTATTTTAATTACAAACAATAATAATAATTGATATTATTTATTATTATACTAGTCTAGATTGTACCTCGTGTGTGGTTTGCTAAAGGTTCCAGTAGTAGATTCGGTAGACACTTAGCCCTAAATTGAGCCTATGGTTGACACAAATATTGAGTGTTTAAAGAAATTTCACAATTTTTTTTTAAATGCAACGAATTGCATAAATTCATTTATGAAAAATTAAAAAATTATATAAAAACATTTTAGCTTGTCGTTAAAATTTGGCCAATGTGCCACCTATGGCACAGATTTGTAACCCCTGTTATAGTACATATTTTACGTCATGTGTCGAATTAGATTTTCCCCAAGCCCCTCTAATTGAACCTATGATTAGGGATCAGTGTTTATTTGTTTTGTAATAAAATGCAATTTCATATTTTATGAATGATAATTTTAATGACTAATTTAAAATTTAATTAAAAAACAAATTAAAATCAATACAAATTAAGTAAATTTAATTGTTGAGCCTCCGGTTTCCATATGATAGGTCTATTTCCAAACCAATTAGAGGACTAATAGTACTTAACCATGCTATTAGGGGATTGAACCTAAACAAATAAACATGGTATTAATAATTAATTATAGTCATAAATTAATGAATAAAGTATAATACAAAATATTAAATAATATACACATAGATTTGTAGAAATGTAACAGGCATACCTAAATGATAAAATGTATATTATTTAATAATCATTACTTAATTTAAAAACCTTCAACTTACTCATAACTATTTTTTGAAGAAAAACCTAACATTTCCAAAACATGAGTATTCTTACAAGGGTGTAATCTGAAAAATGGTGTATTAGAAAATGGATGCATCTATAACAGTAATAATTTGATTATTGCACAAGTTTTGATTTCAAGTGAATTTCTAATTAAGTTAAACCTCTTGAGTTATAGAATTCCACTTGTCATGGACTACATTTTGTTTTAAGAAAGAATGCACCAAAGACCACACATGTTCTAATGAAAGTAACTTTCCATCTAAATATGAAATTAAATTATTTCTATCCGATTTTAATTTGGTAAATATTTAATAAATTACCAGTATACCACATATTAAAGAACACATCTGGGCACGAATAGCTTGGATTGTACAATATGTGATATTCAGAAACAATTGGAATTTTGTCTTCCGTAGGAGAATCTAAAAATAAAACTCTTTAATAATTACAATATCTATTAATTTATTAATTTTAATATTTTAAGAGAATGTCAGCGCACTATTTGATTTCTCTCTCTGGCCCACGCGCAACATAGACAAAATGCATTTACTCAGAATTATTTTTTCTATGTTTTTAAGTAGTCTTAGAGTAAAATCACCCATTACAAAAAAGATAAAGAATAATATTTTTGAGGGAATGACATATTGATTTGTCTAAATATTGTATCAAAACAAATTATACAAAGTTAAATAATAATAAAATATAAAATCGATATGTCATTCCCTCAAAAATATTATTCTCTATCTTTTTTGTAATGGGTGATTTAATTAGTGATTCGTGATTCTGAGTTAATGCGTTTTGTCAATGTAGCACGTGGGCCAGAGAAAGAAAACAAATAGTGTGCTGACATCCACTTAAATTTTATTCAGAGATGGCCACCATTAGGCTACCTTATAAAATGGCAAATAAAAATATCTAAGGTGTATGAAAAATTCCCTTTGCATAAGTATGATTTGATAGAAGTGACTAGTGACTAGTGATAATATACATACAAAACAGTTATATTTTATTTAAAAAAGTAATATTGCTCAAAACAGAAAAACAAATTTAGTTATAACTAAAGATTTTTCAAAAATTAGTATACACACTACTTATTATCAATAAAAATATGGATAACATATTAAAAAAAAAATGTATCCAGTTGCAATTCAATTATACATTATTAACAACTAAAATAATGTGTAACAAATATTAGTTGGACTAATATTGTAACAACATATTTTCAGAAATGGGGTAGGATAGAACATCAAATTGAGATTTTTATTATACAATGTATAATATGTCATATTATAACTACTAACTAGGTAGTGAAATTTAAATAAATATTCCTATAACAATCATTGTTTATCATTGTGACATGGTTGCGAGTAAAATTCGATAAACTAACCTGAGTGGATAGATTTCAATGAAGATTTATTCTTTTTTTGTATCTCCTTTTTTACTAGATAATTAATAAAATTTCCATTCTACAAAAAAAATATTAGACAAGGTAATTATTTATGTAATATTACATGTTTTATAAAAGGTTGTGATTAAATTGTGTGTAGAAAACGGTTGTTTTTTTTAATTCATTTAGGAATTATTATGGTAAAAAAATAATGTAAATTGGCTTTTTTACCATTGGACATTGGTGTTGACGTAAATTCCAACCGTCATCTATCGAGTCCGAATGATTTTTTAAATCTGTAGAGTACTCGACAAATTGTTGGTATGACATACTCATGATTTGTGGTATCCACAACAATAACAATATAAGATGAACACGCCGATTCAATAACTTTTGTAGAAAACTGCGATGCAGACTTAAATCATTTTATTACATAGTTCGGTTTCACTCTGGTCGGATGTGCTCGTTCAATACCTGTCGAGAATACTAAATAAGGTCTCTGTCGTCGATAAGTTAAACGACGCATTATGACAATTGTATGATGAAATCTAATTCCAAGAATAAAAATCCACGATGAATTTTATAATAAATATTAGTTAATACCTACATCGAAATATTCGAAAAATCGAAATCCCGGTGTCACGGACAGTCGTGGTTATCACTATATTTTATCAGTCGACATTGGAATGATACCACAGAACATTTACATATTTTATTATCTATAATTCATTATCTGCGGATACCGCGGCTCAACGCCGACCCATAGATAATAATATTATATTATCTATGTGCCGAACTCGCACGGCAGAATATCACGTAACCGTGCTGAGCATTACAACTGAGTAGAACAAGCGTTTGCGTTACTGACTGAAAAAATTGAACTTGGCCACCGGGCACTGTGGCCAGCGCTACGCCGGTCGCGGTGGCCGTTTTTCGGGGTGCCGTGGCCGTTTTGGACTGTCGATTACCCCACAAATAATTTTAGGTTAACAGGGGCCTATACTACTCATAGCGGCGTCGGCGAAGACGGCGGCGGCGGCGGCGGCGGCGGCGGCGGCGGAATTATATGCACGACGGTGGCACTCGTCCCGCCAGAACGTGACGGCGGCGAAGAGTATAGCCGACTAGGACCCTGGTACCCAATACACTATTTTGAAGACTGAATTCATTCACTAAACAATATTTACCAAAGACACATATTATCAATGATAATAGTAATAATAATAATAATAATAATAATAATATCATCAAAATAAAAAAATATATTATCACAATCATAGATCTATGATCACAATATTATGATATAATCACGGTTTATTATTGTTGTTGATTTTTATTCTTACATAATTTTAGTATTATATTATTAGCATTTATTAATTAATATAATTTTTTTATTTTATGATATACAATATAACTGTGACTAAAGTGTGACTTTGCCTAGGAAGTAAATCAATGTATAACACGGTGCTACATCGGTGTTTAGTGTATCTCAGTTTTAGCACGACAAATCAGTTACATTTTTTTTTAGAGTTTTTTAGTGTACCACCGTCCATCACAGTTGACGGGAAAATTTGCATTGGCGTTCCTCACTTTGGGAACTACCTAGGTCGACCTCGGCAAGGTGGGCATGAAAATCTCAAAGTTCTGGTCTACTTGTGGCGGGTTAAATATTGGATGTAGGACTTGGAATATTTTCGAACGTGGTTCTAATTACTTTCTAAACTTTCCTGGTATCTCTATGAGCCATTTGGAATATATTCGTCAAATTAATTGAGTAGTTTTTGAGTCTATAATCTACAAACATACGGGCATTGCCTTTGTTGTTTACCTACATTTAATTATTTGAATAACAAATAAATACTACCGTTTTTATTTATTTCAAAAAATCCCCAGCAATGCATAGTGGGTCGGCTAGTCTTAACTAGTTTTTGTTTTTTAATTTATTTTATTTATGTAACCGGTGGCAATCCTAATTATTTGATGAGCAAAAACTTGACGTGAGTCACCCTGAACTGCTAAAGTTCATACACAACCATGTCTATGTTTGTTGTACAAAAATTATTTACATATTTACGTAATAAAATCAAACACATGTAAATTGAAATAGTAGTTTTCAAGATTATTCTGAACTTAAAAAAGGAAACTTAAATACACTAAATATATAATTATACATAGATAGTGCCGGACTAGAGAAAGCAGGGAAAATTACCGGTGGGCCACTGTCCATATATTTGAATATACCATATTGTTCTATATGTATGAAAAAAAATGTATACCTAGTACCTACAGGCTACAGTTATTTGTTTTTGAATTTCAACAAAATAAGAAAATTGTTCGATAATAGTTGTTTGTTAATTTTTTGGGTCCAATATTATTGAAATTAGATATTCAAAGGGTCATAAAAATTCAATTTGATATTTTGGTAAACTTTTTTTCTTGATAAAGGTAGAAAAGCTTATGAGAAATTTTGTATTACATTATCAAAATAAATACTATCTATGAAGAGAACAATAAGTAGTTACCCCTTTATTAACCAATTTTACCTCTATATAATATTATAGTATATTGTATAATGTATATTATATGAAATGTCATCAAATATTAATTTGTATTTTATTTCATATTTTCAAATTAAATTAAATTAAATTAACTATTTATTTGATGCCAAATGTTACAATGAACAACACATCTACACACATTTTTGAAATTTATAAAACTTTAAATTTTAATACTCAAGGTTTGAAAATTCAATACAAAGTTTTCATACATTTGCTAAAGAATAATTTTAAAAAAAATGTATTATAAACCCACATTAAATATGAATGATCATTTACAAATCAAATTTTGTTAAAATCGATTATGAAAAATAACGATTTTGATTATTTTATTGTAATTCAAATAAATATTAACCTTATAAACTTGAAACATTCTAGTGTTACATAAATTTTAATTTTAAACACTTAATGAGATCTTGTAAATACTGAAAATAATTTTGAGCTTATTTTATTCACTTATAATGATATTTCTACAGATATTTTTATTTAGAAACATATTTTTCTGTATATAATTAATAATTATTTTTAGAAAATTACTTTGTTTCATTGGTTAGAAAATAGAAATATAAGAAATCCTTAAGCCGCGTCCACACTAGAGCACGCACAGACCGAGCATGTGTGCTCACGACGCACAACGAACGCGAGCCGACTAGATCGGCTCGCGTTCGCCGTGCGTCAAAATCGCTCTTGCGTGGTCTAGTACACATGCTCGGTCTGTGCGTGCTCTAGTGTGGACGCGGCTTAAGTTTGGATATTTAACTCTGTATTAAAACAATATTTTTTTGAACATAATGTTTTTGAATTTATTTATAAGTTTTCTACAGAACCAATGAATACTTTTTACAAATAGTATTTACTATCTATAAACACACACTGAAAAACTATAAATTACAATATAGTATTTATTTAAAGATTTTAGTATGTCACTGGTCAATATCATCGTGTTTCTCGTATTATCATCTATAGTATTTTACTATTTGCATTGACTTTAAAATAAATATAAAATACCTAATAAATAACAAGAGCTATGTCTGACATGACTAATTATTAGTGTGAATATTTAATTTACTTACACAGTTCTATCATAAAAAGAACAATAGGTATTAATGTACCACAATTTCAAAGAAATATATTTACATTTATTTAATAAAGATTTTAGATGTGAAGTACCTATCAGGTGATGACATTTAGTTGTAACTTAGGGTAAATATTGACTATGGAAAAACAACGAAAGAAGATTTTCTTAAGTGTATTACAATTATTTTAATATTATAAGTAATAATTATATATAATATATATATAAAAATATGTATTAGATAATATGGTTCTGGAAGTGAATTTGGTCTTGAAGCTTAATAAAAAAACAAGAAAAGAAGATATGAAGGTCACAAACAAGTTTCAGTATCGAATCCTTAGACTTTGAAAGTTAGTGAGTTTTTTTTTTTGTATTCAATATGATAAATAATACAAATGATTATTTTAGATTCAGTGATATTTCAATTTAATGCTACAGAAAAAACTTAAAATTGAAGAAGAGGAATACATTTATGAAGATGAAATAATTATCTGAAACTGGTGTACAGTTGTATAAAAGTGATGATATATTTTGACTTGACTGAAAAAGATCAAAACAAAAAAGAAATGAAAATAAAACAAAAATGTAAGGCATTGTGTTTGTTCAAGAAAAATATAAAGTTTACACACACACAAGCATGTACAATGTGTCCAGTGAGTAAGTGACTAGCCAGTGTCATATGATAGTATACCTTAATTTTTGAAAAAAAGGCGTTTAAATTCTTATTTTTTTTTTGTTATGTGCAGTTTTACTTTTTTCAAACAAACCGGGACCTACCGGACAAGATACATCAGAAAATATTCAAAACTTTTTATCATAATATTTCTTTAAATTTTAAAGCTATTTTATTTTACTATCCACTAACACACACAAGCCAGAAATGTACTATTTATTTTTATTAATTTTTATTAGAAAAAAAAAGTTAGCTTTTATGAAAGGAAATCGCATATAAATCCAAATAACTCCGATTTTACTATAATACCTAGAAGGCTAGAACCTTTAAACTTTTCGTTTTTGTAAATTTTACGTCTTTATGAGTTAATGCCTCACCTAAGCTCGTTGTCCAGTAATTGTCCATTGACAATAATTACAATCTCAAAAATTGTGTCACATTTAGCAGCATATTACTAGAAAATTATGGAAGATAAGAAGACAATATTTTTATTTAATACAATAAATTTTACATTTCTCGTTTGATTGTGTATATTAGTTGATAGTACAATAAAGTAGTTCTAAAATTAAAAAAGAATTACGATAAAATGTGTAAAAGTTTTGAGATACATAAAAAAAAGTGAGATATAAATCTAAAGGTTAAATTTGGTTTCAAAAAAGTTGGACTCCCCCACCTTTAAATGAGTTTTTTTTCATAATTTAAGGTATACTATCTCATATGACGTCGGCCAGTAATTTCTCAATGGAACACTTGTATAATATATATGATTATAATATTATAATCTATATTTTGTATAATTCACTAAGCACACATCTAATACTACTAGGCATGTAATTGGTCTGACCATCTAATTTGCCACCCCACTATATAATTTTAAATACTTAAAACTAAATTAATAGAGTTAAATCCTAATTAATTTTTAAAACATCATATTGTAATATTATTGTAATAATTGGAACAAACCGTAGATAAAGTCGTACAACACTATTTACTATTAATTATTAACCCATAAGGGCTCATTATAGTATTGTAT